GAAAAAAACATTTTTACTCAACAAAAACCCTGCATTATAAACTTTCAATGCAACCAATGAAAATACAAACTTTTAGTTCACAGACATCAACTTCTAAACTAAACTAGAAGGCATTACTGCAGATTCAGCCCACACTACACTTCACTTATCTACTCAAGGTCTAATCGGCTTCCCGTGACTCTGCCCTGCAGGTTTTTTAGGTGCTGCTGACATATAAAGCATGAAATATGACATGCATCACCCTGAACAGGGGAAAGTCTGGGGTTTTCTACACTGATGTGATCACAGTCTGGGAGGAATAACGTTCCTGCTGGATCTCAGACGAGCTTTATTATTACCGCACTTAAAGGGGTCATCTGATGCCCATTTTCCACAAGCTGATATGATTCTTTAGGGTCTTAATGAAAAGTCTGTAACATAGTTTGGTTAAAATTTCTCAATGGTAGTGTAAAAACACCTTTTTTACCCTGTCAAAAACAGCTCTTTTCAGAGCAAGCCGTTTTGTAGCATTTTCCTTTAAATGTTAATGAGCTCTGCTGACCCCGCCCTTATACTCGCTTCTTCTGGAGGTGAAGCTGGATTAGGCCTGACACAATTACAACTTTTTGTTGTGCGATATATTGCCCCATGTCGAACTTTGTTTTTCGGCCACACACATGTTGCAAAATTTCGGGAATGACATCCACATATTTATGCTGGATTCGCTCTCGAAGTAGTAGTGATTGACATAGTGATAACCATCAATTCAGTTCAAACAACTTGTAAAAGTGCATGTAGCATCCTATGACCCCTTTAAATATAATCATAAACACAAGCAAGATTTACAGCAAGCAAACTACAGAGACCAACTCAGAATATTAAAAATCTTCAGTAAAAGTTCATTCTTAACGGGTCTCGTTTATGAAACTTTATGTAAATCCTTCTTTATGCAACAGCTTACATACACTGTAAAAAAAAATAAAACAAAGAGTATTAGAGCGCGTTTTACAAAAAAAAAAAACACAATTTTTGTCTTTCCACTTCCAAATTTAATGTTTAATTCAATGTTACTTGGCATTTCTTTGTAATTTTTTGTGAAATTTACTACTAATTTCTGAGTGAAAATTGTTTTATCACCAATTTTTTTTTCAGTGATAGTGTTAAAAGTTATTTTTCGAAGTTGTAATAAAACAAAGATTATTGGAGTATGTTTTACAAGAAAATACTACTTCAGTCTTTCTACTTGAAAATTTCACATCTAATTCAATGTGTTATTTGCTGCTTCTTTAATTATTTGTGAATTTTACTAGCAATTTCTGAGTGGAAACTGATTCAAAGTAAACCAAAACCACGTGATTGTGATTTGTGATAATTCACACAAGAATGATTTAATAAATTATTTACACTATAAATTTGTTCTTCTCAAGTCTCGTAAATGAGTCTCACAGTCTTTACACGTGAACTAGTTTGCAAAACTCAAAATATTAGTGTTGGGAATTTGCATTATTGCTTTGAATTGTGTAGTTCCAGGTATATGAATATCAGACAGCACTAAATAACCGTGTTAATGTTGTAAAACTCATCAATTCTGAAACTAAATTCAATTTCAGCTGTAAAGCAGCTCTACAGAAGGTAATAGTGTCATAATTCAGCTCAATTCAGTTCGATTTTTGCTCTCATCCAATAGTGTCCGTGCCATTAAATTGATATTACTATTATATATTTTATTTGATGAATTTATAATGATTTTTGAGGATTTGAGACACTAATCCGTCACCAACACAAAAAAAAAAAGATTTTTCCCCCCTCCCTTTTAAGTGTTATTTTGTTCTCCCAACTATGCAAGACTATACAGTTAGTTAAATGATATTATTTGCATTTATCATTGTTTGTTCCCTGCTGTTCGTGACCCATCAGAACAGATCTGCAACCCATGTTTTGCAAAACTCAAAATGTCAGGAATTTGCATAAGTGCATGGACTCGTGTCGTTCCGGGTAAATTAATATAAAATAGCACTAAATATGTGCTAAATAAGAGTTAATAGTAGCAGTGCAACTAATGCTGGTCTACAAATGGAAATGTGCTGACTAATGGACTGGAGCAGCTCAAACATCAACTTTTAATTACCTATATTTGAGTTAATCGTTGCATGAATAAGGCCAGGAATAGTTGGACTAACACATCCATTGCATAGAAACACCTCTATTTATTATCCGTGGAAAATGTAAGTCAGAAAGTTTGGAGCAGCATGAGTGGATGATGACAAAATGTTCTGTTTTGGCTAACTAAAGTCTTAGGAATAGCATCACTAACAGACTTCTCTATCTTGTGTTTCCTCAAACATAATGATTCTCGGCGTTTCCTCCGGCTGCTATTTCCAGCTTCATCAAGGCCCTGATTGTTTTGCATTTGACATCCCGAGTGTAAGACGAGATGATGCTTACCTGTTCTTTCACCTGCCTGACCATGCAAAAACTAGAAGTGACGCATGCTGGAGCTCTGGCTGCATTAAACCTTGTGCTATTGTTCTTGCAGACTGTCTCACCTCGAGGCAACATGAACTGAACCCAGTTCAGGAGATCATGAGATCCAATAGCTTGTGATCCAAAGCCCTTGAGTCAATGCAACAGCCAAACGTTGTAGGAAATGCAAACTATAACACAAAACTTGACTAAATGAGAAATGCATTGCAGAAAAATGGTGTTGCATTATAGTTTATGCAACTAAGGGCCAGATTTACTAAACAGGGCATATTAGCGTCAGATCGCAATCCTATAAAAGCACAGATGCGAGTGGAAAGTTCTACTGACAATGCACAGATCATAATTTCCATAATGACCAACACAATCCACCCAGAGCAGCCAAATTAGCGCAGGGCCGATGGTAATCAACACAGGCACAAAACAGCTTAAGACATGCTTTTTGGCTTTAAATAATGGCGCAAATACTAGTAAACCAACTGCTGCAAACCTTAGTAAATCAAACATTCTCCTCTCATAAATGTTGCATGTGAAAGTGAAACTTCTATAAATGCATATGCAAAGATCAGCCTCAAAATTAACCGCCTTTTCATTGCTAATGTTTCAATGTGTCTTTAGTAAATCCAGACAGTAGTTTTAAACGCCAAAAGAGGGTTTGCACATGTGCAAGCTGTTAGTAAATCTGAATCTGAAGTGTGACTAAAATTAGTCTATAAGATGCAATAACCAGGCTCAGATGGAACATGTCTGTGAGTGTTAAAAGGCCATGAACTACCACACCAGTGAAACATTTCATACATACTTCGGCTCACAAAGCTGAAGATCATATTCTCATCACTGCTTAAACTACTTGTGCTATTTAGTATTAAACCACCAGACTCAAAGCAAAGCAAATGACTGTGCTGACCACTGTAAAAATAAACACTACACTGGTGGAAGAGAAAAACGGACATGCTCCGGGCCAGAATGACCGGTTATATTTATAGTTATTCTGTACAGACTTACACTGACTTCAACCGTTTTTATTCATGTTATAGTTATTCTGAGGACACAAAGCCAAATCCGAATATCCAAATCCTTCAGCACCTGCCGTGTTCTGCTATCACAAATCATATGAAGCACATTTGTCCCTGATTTCATGTGAATTAGTGACAGAACGTGAAAATTGCATCAGCCGATAATCATGACTGATTTGCCAATTAACAGAAGTGCTGCTCTCGCTTCTATTAGCTCTAAACCTTACCAAATGCATAATGATTTCTTTTTATTTGATCTTATTTTTACACACACACACATATGCATATACTGTAAATATTGTGCATATACCGTTGTATGGCATTGCATATGCATGCATATATATATACTGTACATACATATATATATATATATATATATGCATGCTGCATATGCAATGCCATACAACGATACACACATATATTTTGGTCATAGTTTGCTGTCTGCATTAAATTAAATTTACAAAAGTGATTTTATATACATAAGCATATTAAACAAGTGTCTACTTTAATGTTTCAAATAACTTGTCAAATTCCCATCGTCATTCAGCATAACAGATACAGTATATTTATGTAAAAATTAAACTTACTCTGACCTCTACTTACTAAAATATATAAAAGAAAAAATTATCATACTAACATCTATTATATTTTAAATGATTTAAAACTTATATGACAAATGGGTAAAACCTAGTGGTTTGAAGGATATAGTGGCAAAAATGGGTAAAGATTTAAAATTACAATTAATTATTGTTTTGTGGGCTGCAGTCTGATCCTTAAATAGTCTTTTAATGTCATCAAATGATTATTGTTCTAAAAATGCCTGACAAGATTTTTTTTGGTATATGAACTATTGTTTCTTTCTTCCATGTCTCATAAATAGAGGTGTTGTATTTTTCCATGCAATGGCTATATGGCTATAATGCATGCACAATTAATTCAAATATGCATAATTAAATGTCCATGTTTGAGCTGCTCCATTAGTCAGCAAATCGGCAACTCTACACTTCAAACTGTTGAATATTTTTAATATCATATCATCATATTATTCTGGCAACCCTGTTCTCTAGTTATCAGTATCGGCATCTGCCACTAAAAAAAAACTCTTATTGCTCGAACAGCAACTTATTATACAACATCAAAAGCATGCAATGTCATAATGTGAAGATATCTACTGTACGGCATCACAAACTTCAGCACTGCTGCAAACACCAGGCCTGTCCAGGAATTTCACAGCAGCGCAGAAGTTTCCCCAGCGCAGGCCATCCAGAGCACGCCCAGAACGGGCCCCGAGCTCACTTGGGCTACTCTTGCATGAACACAAACCCAAGTAGAGTCTCCGTGAGCATGCATTTGACCGCCGAGGCCCATCAAACTCCTCTGTGCAGCAAAGTGACATAAGAATCTCAGCAAACACACATGCAGGCAATTTGAGAGAGGATTCAAACTGACAGCTTTGACCTATAATGAGGAGAAACACGGCTCAAACATGACACTTTAATAAAAGTAATGTAGTGATTTTATGACAATACCTGCTTTCTCCTTTCGCATTGGAGGGCGGTGGGTGAAGAATAGTCTGGTTTTCCTCCATCTCAACCACACATTTTGTGCTGAGCTCAATCTCTGCAAGCCAAAAGTTATTAAAACTCGACTAGAAGTCGTGATTAAAAAAAGTCTGAAACGTATTAAAACAGCACTTAACGTGAATATAGAGCCACAGCAACTTATAAAACAGATTTAATTTTTAAATAGCAATGCTTGTTGCGATTTTAAATGGTCTCTTACCTCTCCGGTTCATTGGCCGGACTCGAACCGCTACTTTTACCTTAGTATCCGACATTTTTGTTACAATTTCAAGGCTTTAAAGTGGAGGAGAAAGCCGCTAGCTGCTCCGCACGGCTAGCCGAAGAATAACATGCAACTCCCCGCAAAGTCCCCCACAGAAGCGTCTGAGGTGCTTGTACCCTAGTAAAATACTCCAACAGTCCATACCCGAGCGGGAAAAGCCGTGAATATGAATCCAGATGAGACTGTGTTGCATTCGGGTTGAATGTGTGATCCTCCGCCGCGGGGAGAGCAGCTCCTCTCTCTCAGCCAGCCAGCAGCATCCAGACCGCCATCTTCCGCCGACTGACCCCAAAAACACACAAATGTGCAGTGTGCATGAATATGCATGAAAGAAATGAGTTGAAAAGAGACCAGATGGACCACAACGACCTGTGAAGCTCCTACATGGCGATATAAAACGACTGGTTACGTTAGAAGAGGTGGAGAAACAGCCTTACCTTGTGTCACATAATCAATAAACTATTTAACACTTTATCTAAACGAAATGATTCCTAATGTTTCTTCTGTACTTGCATTTGTTGATTTCTCCATTCAAAAAAGTACTGGCATGCAGAAACATGTGAATTAACAGTTTTATCCTATTTAAAAAATATGATTTAATATGCCTGACTCAGTTAGGTTAAATTAATAAAAGTCAGTTTTAAGTGTCAGATATAAAAGAAAAATAGCTTCTGAAGGTAATGATCGACCAATTCCCATTTTACAATTGACAGTAAGAATTGGCAAATTTGATAAAAGAAACAAATTACAGAAGCAACATCTAAAGAAAATGAAGACAACTGAAGTATAACTACATAAATATTTAATGCATATTAAAAAAAATAGTTGACATGCCACTTTTAAAAAAATTTTGTTAAAAAAAAAAAAATCTATTTACATCTATTTGTGATGACATTAGCACTATTGACTATACTTTATATATATTTTTAAGATATTGATATTATAATGAAATTACATATTTTTAGCATTTATAATTACATAAAGATTAAATGCAGATTAAAAATGCCACTTACTGTATGTTTTTTAAGATGGTAATATCATGGTACTTTATGTTGGTAGTCCATAAAATGCATGCTCAAAAACACTTTATATATATATATACAGATAGATAGATATACAGATAGATAGATAGACAGATAGAGATATATGCATGTATGTGTATTTAATGATATTGATGTAAAATATATAAATATATTATATATTTTTAACCCAATTTATTAAAAGGCCTTTTATGCTTAACCATGAATGCCTTGAAATATTTTCTTATTTTCATACTTTATATATTATTTTATACTTCCTTTTGCACATATTCTCATTGTATGCAGCTCAAATGCAAACACTGAGCGATACTAATGCACAGTTTTTGTCATGACAATAAAGCACATTAATCTGATTTTCTCAAGTGAAAGTGCGGGTCGTTTTCACTGAGATGTGAGTTACGGTAAGAAGTGCTTTCTAATATGCTGTGACGACAACAGCAGTCTGGTACGATCAAGGGAAATAGAGCAGAGCAGATTATGGGATTCCCCTATGGGTTGCTTTAATCTCTGTGGATTAAACATTAAGAATTAATCAAATAATGTATTGCATGCCATTTTAAATAAGCGTACACCCATAAGAGTTACACTGGGCGTATATTCATTTAAAATGACTTTTGATTAAATGTTGACCTGTAGGAACTTTGTAAAGTCATAGTTTGTGCCAATGACTGCCAAGTGGTTCCCAAACATGTTCACCTATTTTAGGTTCCAGGATCCCATGCAAAATAACCATTTGGTTATTATTAAGGCACTGAATGACATGCCAGTTCATAAATAATGGAACCAGTGCGTGAATTTCTTCAGCAAGGAATATTAGGGATGACTGACATACAAATAACTGAATTCAGATGTTTCTGTGTTTATAAATCAAAAGATAACCATAAGAAAAGAAAAGAATACTTGACAAGTGAACTTTAGATTTGACATAAACTTGATTATGCAAAATTACTTACAGTTTACGTATTAGAGCTATAAATCAAGGACAATCCCACTGGAGCAACCTGGAACTGAGTGCATTGATCAATACATTATACAATAAAATGCATTGCACTGCATTTCGTACACTCTTGTATATTCTCATTCATATATGTGACCCTGGAGCACAAAACCAGTCATAAGGGTCAATTTTTCGAAATTGAGATGTATACATCATCTGAAAGCTGAATAAATAAGCTTTCCATTGATGTATGGTTTGTTAGGATAGGACAATATGTGGTCGAGATACAACTATTTGAAAATCTGGAATCTGAGGGTGCAAAAAAATCTAAATATTGAGAAAATCATCTTTAAAGTTGTCCAAATGAAGTTCTTAAATGCATATTACTAATCAAAAATTCAGTTTT